AGAACCTCAAAGAGGAAATCACCAAATCAATACCATTTACAATAGCCCCCAAGCAGATAAAATACTTAGGAATAAATCTAACCAGAGACGTAAAAGACCTATACAATGAAAACTACAAGACACTACCGCAAGAAACCAAAAGAGACCTGCATAAGTGGAAAAACATACCTTGCTCGTGGATAGGTAGACTCAACATTGTGAAAATGTCAATTCCACCAAAGTGATCTACAGATACAATGCAATCCCGATCCAAATCCCACTGGCATTTTTTAATGATAGAGAAACAAATCACCAAGTTCATATGGAAAGGGAAGAGGCCCTGAATAAGTAAAGCATTACTCAAGATGAAGAACAAAGCCGGAGGCCTCACACTACCTGATTTGAGAACCTATTATACTGTCACGGTAGTCAAAACAGTCTGCTAATGGTACAACAACAGATACATAGACCAATGGAACAGAGTTGAGAATCCAGACATAAATTCATCCACCTATGAGCAGCTGATATTTGACAAAGGCCCAAAGTCTGTTAACTGGGGAAAAGACAGTCTCTTTAACAAATAGTGCTGGCATAACTGGATATCTATCTGCAAAAAAATGAAACAAGACCCATACTTCACACCATGCACAAAAACTAACTCGAAATGGATCAAAGACTTATATATAAAATTGAAAACCCTAAAGATCATGGAAGAAAAAATAGGGACAATGCTAGGAGCCCTAATACATGGCATAAACATAATGCACAAGCACCAGAAGAGAAACTAGATAACTGGGAGCTCCTAAAAATCAAACACTTATGCTCATCAACAGACTTCACCAAAAGAGTCAAAAGACAAAATACAGACTGGGAAAAAATTTTTGGCTATGACAAATTCTATCACCGTCTAATCTCTAAAATCTACAAGATACTGCAAAACCTCAACAACAAAAAGACAAATAACCCAATTAAAAAATGGGCAAAGGGTATGAATAGGCACTTCGCCAAAGAGGATATTCAGGCGGTTAACAGACACATGAAGGAATGCTCATGATCATTAGCTATTAGAGAAATGCAGACCAAAACTACAATGAGATATCATCTCACCCCAACAAGGCTAGCATTAATCCAAAAGACACAAAATAATAAATGCTGGAGAGGTTGTGGAGAAACTGGAACACTTACACACTGTTGGTGGTAATGTAAAATGGTACAACCACTTTGAAAATCAATTTGGCGCTTCCTTGAAACGCTAGAAATAGAAGTAGCATATGATCCAGCTATCCTGCTCCTTGGAATATATCCTAGAGAAATAAGAGCCATCACACGAACAGATATATGCACACCCATGTTCACTGCAGCACTGTTCACAATAGCAAACAGATGGAAACAACCTAGCTGCTCATCAACGGACGAGTGGATAAACAAATTATCGTATATCCACACAATGGAATAGTATGCAATGATAAAGAACAACGATGAAGCTGTGAAACATCTTATATTGTGGAGGAATCTGGAGGGCATTATGCTGAGTGAATTTAGTCAGTCACGGACAAATATTGTATAAGACCACTACTATAAGAACTCAAGAAAAGGCTTCAACACAGAAGAAAACATTCTTTGATGGATACAAGGGCGGGGAGGGAGGGTGAGGGTTATTTACTAACTACTTAGTAGATAAGAATTATCTTAGGTGAAGGGAAGGACAGCACACACTACAGGAGAAGTCAGCACAACTGGACTAAACCAAAGCTAAGAAGTTTCTTGAATACAATCAAACACTTTGAGGGACAGAGTAGCAGGGGTAGGGGTCTGGGGACCATGTTTGCAGGGGACATCTAGGTCAACTGGCATAACAAAGTTTGTTAAGAAAATATTCTGCATCCTACTTTGATGAGTGGCGTCTGGGGTCTTAAAAGCTTGCAAGCAGCCATCTAAGATGCATCAACTGGTCCCAACCACCTGGAGTAAAGGAGCATGAAGAACACCAAAGACACAAAGAAAGTATTAGCCCAAGAGACAGAAAGGGCCACATAAACCAGAGACTTCATCAGCCTGAGACCAGAACTAGATGGTGCCCGGCTACCACCAATGACCGCCCTAACAGGGAACACAACAGAGAGTTCAGGATGGAGCAGGAGAAAGGTGAGGTGCAGAACTCAAATTCTAGTAAGAAGACCAGACTTAATGGCCTGACTGAGACTGGAGAAACCCAGGAAAGCATGGCCCCTGGATTCTCTATCAGCCCAGAACTAAAAAATTTCCGAGGCCAACTCTTCAGACAAGGATTGGACTGGACTGTGAGACATAAAGTGATGCTCGTAAGGAGTGTGCCTTGTAGCTCAAGCAGATGCAGGAGACTAAACGGGCAGCTTTTGTCCGGAGGTGAGATGGGAAGGCAGAGAGGGTTAGGAGCTGGTTGAATGGACGTGGGGAGTCAGGGGCGGAAAGGAGGAATGTGCTGTCACAATATGGGGAGAGCAATTAGGGTCACATAACAATGTATGTATAAATTTTTGTATGGGAGACTAACTTGAAATGTAAACTTCACTTAAACTACAACAATTAAAAAAAAATGATTAAAGGTTTATATTTTAAATATATATATATATAGACACATGCTTATGAAGATATATATACACACACACACATACATATATATATTTGTACTTATATATATTTATAAAGGGTTCTGTAAGGATAGATAACAATTAGCAACAATTACCTCTAAGCCCTGGGGTGCTTAATCCAGTTTAAATTTTTGTTCTACATAGTATATTAAATTTACACCTATTGATTTAATATACAACCACTTTCTTAAAATTAAACTGTTTCCCAACATACAATATTAAAAAAATAGTTTAATTTATATGCCTCTCTGTCCTGTTTTTATCTTCATATTTCTTCAGACAATTTATGTGTGTTGTTAACCAAAATGTTACACCTAAAATGTTATATTTATATAGTGACTTTTATCTAAATAATGAATCCTTAAAACGTGGATCCATTCTTTTCCTACGTATGCTACATAAATGTCCTTTAAAAAATAATGCATTTTATTAGATACCTGCCCCAGAGCAAATACATAAAGTGAAAGTGTTGTACAAAATGTCAACAGTAGATGGTGCACATTTGCTCTTCTAAAGCAACTCTGCTAACAACCAAACCAATATAGTAAACTACCTACCTAAAACATGAGTCTAACAAACGAGAATCCTTAAAACTAACCAAAGAAACCAACAAGCTAAATCTAACTTGCAGTAAATGATCCTCTGCTGATCTGAGGTTTAGTTTTAGAACCGAGCAAAAGAAACTAGTAAAGTTTTCAGCACAATACTATGAAAGCCAATAAAAGAAAGTCTGCCAGAGGTCAGTTAAATGAATGCCATCAAGGAAGAACAAGTCTATAATATATAGCAAGAGACAAGTGAGTATGACAAGACTGTAAGATCTAAGGTGGGTGATATTGGAGAAACACAGGAAAGGAATATGGCCGAACTGGTTGGCATATATATATATACATATTTATATATATATGTATGTATCTAATTAGGATGCTCACTCACTATCACAAAGGACTTCTGTTTTGTAGATAATGCTTTCCTCTTCAGCCCAAAAATACTTTCAGGGAAGGGAAATACTATAGAAGTAGTTTCAAACATGGCTGCAATCTGAATCAATTCTTCACCAACACCGTAATTCAAAGGCGTCAATTCTTTGGTTTTCCTTATTCACTGTCCAGCTTTACATGCATATGAGATGACTGAAAATACCAGGGCTTGGGTCAGGTCCACCTTAGTTCTCAAAGTGACATCTATGCTTCTGAACACTTTAAAAGAGGTCTTCTGCAGCACATTTGCCCAATGCAATGTGTCATTTGATTTCTTGACTGCTGCTTCCACGGGCATTTACTGTGGATCGAAGTAAAATGAAAGCCTTGACAACTTCAATATTTTCTCTGTGTTATCTTGATGTTGCTTATTGGTCCAGGTTTGAGGGTTTTAATATAGGTCTATGCAAATTTAAAAATAGGTAGGAGAGTCTATTTCATAAACACATTGTTGACTCTTTCTAGGCCAAATTTTAACTATTTGGAATTACAGATATTTGGGTGATCTCTGCCTCTGCTTCTTCCTTTGAGCGTGATAACTGAGAATTTAAGTGAATATGTAATTTATAAATCTACTGCTAATTCTTTTTTTTAAAACTTCATGTGGTGACTTGGGAATATTTTCATATGATCATTAAACACATGTCAAATTCTTTGAGGAATACTACTTACCCTCTGTTACATTTGGCTATTTCATGAAACAGAATTTTCCATCGAGGACGTCCAATAAAAAGTCTTGAATTTAGTGCCTGATATTTTTCTCCAATTATTTTCTGCCAAAAAGAAAGCATTTTATTTTATCCAACTCACAGATTTAGACAAATAACTCATTGCTCTAACATCATTTCCACTCATGTCATGGCTTCCTACCAAACTGCTGTGATGTAAAGAATCTAAGTGTCAAGCAACAAACCATTAAGTACAGTCATTTCAAAGCATCATTTCCTTCCTCTTTTCCTTTAAAATCCGTTAGCTTCTTGAATGCCATTCTTACACACGGACTGATTTTCCTACACTTCAGTTAGTTATTTCATTTTTTAACAACTGCAATGTAAAACAAAGAATGAGCTCTAATTGCCCACTCTCAAATAAGACTCAGCACGTAAACTTTATGGAAGTATTTACACCACAAGTACAGTTGTCATCTTTGGCTCATTATATAAATGAAATACTGCAAAGTGACATCATAAATTTGGAAAAAAACAATCCTAGAAAAGACAGCTCAAGACAGCAGAGCTCCATATCTTGGGTCTATCACCAAATGACTGCAAATGGGCTGGTACTTCCAATTAACAGAACGCAACATAAACCAAACTCATTGCTGATAAGTCAATTCTGACCCATGGTGACCCTATGGGACAGAGTAGAACTACCCCAGAGGGTTTCCAAGGCTGTAATCTTTACAGAAGCAGACTGTCACATCTTTCTCCCACAGAGCAGTCAGTAAGTTTGAACTGTCAACCTTTCAGTTAGCAGCTGAGTGCTTAACCACTATGGCACCAAGGATCCTTAACTAACAACATTAGATATGAATAGATGATGAAGAATTAGAATGAAGTGAGCAGAGAGGAGAAAGTGTCTAGGACTCAGGCCAACTTCAACTGGGAACCAAATGTAATTTATGCTCCATGCCTTAACTACAGTGGTATCATGAGGAATAATGATACTGACTTTTTTCATGAGAGTAGTATAATAAAATGAATTTTTTTAATGTAACAAATAGGTTAGAAATCTAACTAGAAAAAATAGGGTTGGAATAATTTTGAGGCAACTGACAAGACTTCATATTTTGTATGCAAAGTATTATGTAAATGTACAATAGAAAATACTAAAATAAAATTTGTGAAAGCATTCACATCCAGATTTGTATTCCTATCCAGCTCTTCAAATGCTATCTCTAAACATTAGTTTCTTAATCTGTAAAATAGAGATAATAACATCATCTACTTCTGGAATCTGTTCAGATTACATGAAATAATGTACACGAAATGCTTAGCACAGGGTCTAGCACAGTAAGTGAATAATGCATGATGGCTATTATCAACTTTTAGTTTTCCATGGAGAGAAATAAGCTGAATTGTGTATGACCTCATCTTCCATCTCCTCATAAAACCTTCTTTTGACTAACACAGTCACAAGATTTCATTTATGGCCTGATCTCTAAGGGTAAAGAACTTGAGGCTACAGATAGAGAGATGCACTCAGAATGTTCCAGTCTCATGTGAGGAGGACAAATGAAAGGCATAGTATGGTTGACTTCAAGGACAAGCCATGAGTTTTCTGGACACAGTACAAAGGAAGCCTTCCTCTAAGAAACTTCTGTACGAAACACCTGCGGAAATTCTCTTCCAGCACAGCTCCTACAGTAAATCTTCTATTATCAAGAGGCTTGTTTAATTTACAATAACATCCAACCACATACCTGAATCCCATCTGTTTGACTGAGGTACAGCTGGATGTTGACATAGTCAGGTCTGTTCTCTTGCCAAAACTGAGGAGACATAAAATGAATAGACTCATTAAAATTATTTCTGTGCATTCAGACTTTCTCTTATTCTAACATATATAATTCTAGAATTTGTTAACACATATCTTGGCTTATCACAGTCAACATCTATAAGCAAGTGGATATATATATATGTAAAAACACAAACACACACACACACAATACCATGGACTGCCAGAAGAATGGACAAATCTGTCCTGGAAGAAGTACAGACAGAATTTTCTTTAGAAGAGAGGATGGTGAGACTTCGTCTCATGTACTTTGGACATGTTATCAGGAGGGACCAGTTTCTGGAGAAGGACATCATGCTTGGTCAGTGAAAAAGAGGAAGACCCTCAACGAGATGGACTGACCCAGTGGCTGCAACAATGGGCTTAAACATAGGGATGACTGTGACGACTGCACATGACGGGCGGCGTTTCACTCTGTTATACATGGGGTCACTATGAGCCAGAACTGACTGGATGGCACCTAACAACAACAACATATATGTACATGATTCTAACATTAATAACCTGCCCCACTGGTATAATTAGGTATGATGGTGGTGATGGAAGGGAATAATTCTCTGTTATCTTTATAGATAAAAAATCTGGGAAGCTAAATACTACACTGATATTCATCTAAGTATTTCACAAATATTATTCTTTTATTTTCTTCCCTCCTAGTTCCCAAATTTTACCCAAGAGTGCACCCATAAAGAACATGATTCTCTTTAAAAAAAGTCAGTAGTGACATACACTATGTAATCTAAGACAAAATCATAACCAATTTCCTAGCCTATTATTTTTTTTCTAACTCTCCTGAGCCTTAGAAAGTAAACAGAATGTTAAAATACAAAATAACACAAACAAAAACAGTGAAAAGACGTGTTCATCTTCTTGCCTTCCCTCTATTCTGCACTGGTTTCCCTTGTATAAAAATCTAAGTGGGAACAATACCTGCCAGAATAAAATAGTATGGAAAACATATTGAACAGTTACAATATCCTGAAAAATAAACTTGGTAAGAAAAATATCATCTGAAGGAAAATAAATTCAACAAAGGGGTAAAAGAGTTGTTGTCTTCATATGCTTCCTTTTTCTAGAAGACTAAAATGAATCTAGTAATGACTGGCCTTGCTCTGACTACACTTTATTGCTATTGGCCTCTCTGTGTCTATTCCTCCCTCCCTGACACACACACACAGACACAGACAGATACACACACTGTGAACCTGGTGACACAGATGTCGACACAGAAAAGATATATCCATACTATACATAAAATACTTTACAGTTAAAAAAAGGAGGTAATTCTATATGTACTAATATTAAAAAATGTTCAAGACACAAAGTGATAAGTTAAAAAAATAATTTTCAGAACAATATGTGCAGTATGATACAATTTATGGAATATTCACAAGTTACCTCTGTTTACATAGACTAGGTAGGGAAAGTAGTCAGGGAGGATTTTGCTTTTTTAAATTTTCAGCAAAGATGTATTTGTGTATAAATTGTACATTTTTAATAAATAACAGGTAAATAAGTTTCCCTCCATCTGACTTCTCTCACTACCCCACAGACATATGCATACATTTCTACGTAAAAACATTCTTTGCTATAGATACATATTCATACCCACAAACACTGATTATCTAGAAAGCTGTGTACCAACTTATTGACAGAAGTTACCTCTGTGTTTTAGGCGTAAGGGATTTTTTCTCTCCTTGTTATTTATCTGCATATTTTCTCATTTATTCCATAAAAAGCATTTGTTACTTTTCTAATACGAAAGACAATTGCTGGATTTTTTTTCTAAAATTAGAAAAAAAATTGCAAAACTAAGAGCAATCCTAATTTTACCTTGTTATGTAACACACAGAGTAAGTCTGCAAACCAACGGAAGGCTTGAATATCTCTGCATACCCAAATAAGATACAGTCTTCTAAGCTTGTATGGTTTCCAGTCATCCCTTTAAAATTAAAATTACATAGTAGGCATTAGGATGGCAAAAAAAAAAAAAAAATAACGAAGCCCTAGATCCTTAAATTTTTGCTTTTCAATAGTAAGTAACCAAGAGAAAAACCAGTCATTTACATTTTAGTGTTTGATATAGCACTTTCTATAACCACAAGTGAATTTAAAATGCAATAAGATGACTTAAAGACATGCTATGCCCCATAAATTTAAAGTATACTTGTGAATGTTCTATGCATATCACCTGTTTCCAGTAGAAGGTACTAGACTAAACTTCTGGATCAAGACAATACTGGATACTGCATCTCAGGAAACCAAGTATTCTATTTTCAGTAAATTCTGTTGCCGAGCAAGGCTTCAAGGCCTTCCAGTCTTGTCCCGGCTTCCAAGCAAAATGACCCAAAACTGTTCCAGAAAGTTGGTTGTTTATCCCCTTATTAACAATCACTAAAGAAAGAGATTTCACAACCATCTAGTATGTAATGCATTCCAGCAACTCATAATTTCAAGTCTGGATTCCTGTTTATAATTATGAAGTAGGCTTGAGGTTAAGAAAATGTCCTTCCCTTTTCATAACACTAGGTATCCTAATAACTTGTAATGTGTTGTGAGAAACAAATGTTTTCTGGCTTAGAATATGATTATTTTTGTAAGAAACTCTAAAAAGTTTCAAATTTATATCATGCATTTAAAAGTGAAATTAGATATCATGAAAACATACTGTTTCAACTTAGTATTTGCTTTCTGGCACTTCATAGAGCAGACTTTTAATGTAACTGGTATCTACTCGAAAAATGAATGCAATAGATTTGGAGATAATTTCCTACTGTCATTTTATTTGTGATTTCAGTGGCAATTAATATTAATTAACTTTTGCTTCAAATTAAAATAACTTGGAATTTTCTTAGAATTAATATAACTAGAATCATATTTTCTGATTAAGCAGTCTTTTGAAGTTTCTTCAGTCTACTATAAATTTTCTGAGTAACAGACCAAGGAATGATGTGCTCATCTGTCATCTCCTCAGAAAATCCTTCACTGACCACATTTCCACAAGAACCCCAGTTCTTTATTTCCATGTCCTATTAATCTGTCTTCTTTTCATCATAGTTCTAATCATCCTCTGAATTTTCATATTTATGAATTGTTTATTTTTTACATGCTCCATTTGAATCCAAATTTCTTAAGTGCATGGACTCTGTTCTGTTCATTTTTGTATTCCCAGTACCTATAAGACCAATTGGTACACAGGAGGAGCTAAAAAGTATCTGATGACTGAATGACTGAGGAGTACCACTTACCACTGAAGGTAGAGAAATGAGGGATGGTGGTGAATGATTTTAGTAGAAGGAAAAGAGAGGAATGGACAATTCTTATACTGATATATTTTACAAGAGAGCTTGGTGGGGGCAACAAAGCACATGTTGAGAATAACTGAATTATCCCTCTCATCAATGAGTAAACAGAGAGCCTCGAACAATGAGTAGAAGAATTCTGTGATGTCTTAAATGCTGGCAGTTCTCTATTTGGACTAATAAAATGGATCAAAATGACATACAGCAGAGTGTTGAGTATTGACGCAAATGGAGTCACTCCAATGCCTCCAGCCACAAAGAGGCTAACCTCATAGTTCAGTGATTCTTCAAATGGACTTCCAAATGGACCATCGATATACAGCCTGTAGATAAGGCAGACAAAGTTAGGGAAAACAAGATAAGGTAAATTGATTTTATATAATATGGAATAAACATGCTGGATCCAAATCTTTATGTCTGGGCTTTGTGATGGCTCAAGTTTTATTTCATTGCCTCTCATCATAGTTTTGAGCCTAAAGGAATAAACAATGTTGTTTATGAAATGTCAATATTAAAACAAGTTTATATGCTTCTAAGTATCCCCTTTTTTGGATGAAAACATTAATTAAAAGTGTAGAGAAATGTAAATAGGACCATGTGGAATAGCTAAGGACAAATTAAAGTTCTTATATTACTAGATTTGACTAAGTTAAAACACTAATTGCTTTGTTGTGTCTAAATTCAATAAACAGTGTTCCTTTTGATAGCAAAGTCAATGGCAGAAATAGTTGCTATAACATTTACTTTGTAAATGCAAACAATAATAGGAGGAAAAAATCTAATGCTGTTACTCTTCTCGTGCCCTAGTTAGGTTTTTTAGAAGCAGTTAGAGAATAATTTCAGAGGAAGTTGGCATCATAACAGAAGTATGTATGTGTGGGAGGGGGGTTTGTTTAGAATGCACTGAATATATATTGACAGTGGTGGGATAATTTACAAAAAGAAAGAATGGTTGTACAACTTGAATGTAATCAATGTCACTAAAGTGTACATGTAGAAAATGATGAAATATTGTATGTTTTGTGTGTATATCAGTATAACAAAAAGTGTGTGTGTGTGTATTGTTTGTGTGACCATTCTTAGCTGCAGCAGAAATTGCTAATTGTTCACTTAATATCTATTATCAGATTCTTTCTTAGTAACACAACATTACTTTTATTCAGGAAAGCAAAGTGATCAGCAAAAGAATACATTTCCCAGAACCCCTTGCATTTACGCATGACTATGTACTGGCCAAGGTGGCAGCAGTGGAAGTATTATTTGTAACGACAAGGATGGCTCCTTAAAAGAAGTTGTCTCAGTTGGAAGTTGGCCTTCCTTTCCCCTTTTCCTCCTCCTTCCTAGTGCCTGTAATGTTGACTTGATGGTCTCAGTAGTTGTCTCTGATAAATGTAGAGTTACCATACCCTCTGTGGACTGCCTAGCTCCACACTTCTTTACATAAGAGAAAAACACTTATATAAGACACTTCCGTTTACAATTATTTTTCTATTATTAAAATTTTTTTTATAAGTTCTAAAAATAGTAACTGTCCTAAAAGGTATATTTTATAGTTAGACTTATGATATACATGTCTTTTATGGTTAGGAGCCATTGCGGCAGTAGATCAGTTAAGATTAGGCATCTATGGGCTTAAAAGTTAAGTGCTTAGTAAATGTTAGTTACCAGTTACCATTGAGTTGATTCCTACTAATGGCACCCAATGTGTGTTACAGTAAAGCTGTACTCCATAGGGTTTTCCATGGCTGTGACCTTTTGGGAGCAGATCACCCAGCCTTTCTTCTGAGGTGCCTCTGGGTGCATTTGAACTGCCAACCTTTTGGTTAGCAGTCAAGTGCTACCCAAGGGACTCCAAATGTTAGTTAAATGAATTAACAAATGTGCATTCCTTTAAGCTCTGAGCTCTACGGCATGTAGACTCTGCTAGTTATTATTAGTCATTGCCATTATATCATTTCCTCTCCTTCCTGGGTACTCAGTAGACTAGACTTGCCAGGCTTCTTGTAGTTACTATGGGCCATATGACTAATCTGACTGCTAGACTGCAAGCAAAGGCAATACTTGTCACTTCTGGAATGAGGCAGAGAAGTCTTTTCCATTCCATGGGACCTAAAGACAGGATTTGAACCAGAAGACAGAAGCAGATTGAATCCCTGAATTACCACTTAGTGGAAGCTGCCCTGGGGAGTTCCACGGCCCATGGAAGTCACTGCATGGACAAGAAATGAACCAGTTTAGTGAAGTTTTGTCACTGATATTTCAGGGTTAATTAGTTCTGCAGCAGAACTTAGACCATTATGACCAATACATGGACATTATATACTTAAGTACTGAGGGGAAACTTGTGAGAGTGCTGCTTTATAAAAAAGATACAATCACTACTAGAAAAGCTACTCCCTACACAACGAACAATAACAAATGTTTCAATGCCTAACATAGTGTCCTGAATATAAGCAGAAAATTCAGGAAACCCTGATAAGATTCAAAAACCTGTTGCCACCAAATCAATTCCAACTCATAGCAACCCTACAGGACAGAGTAGAACTGCCCTATAACACTTCCAAGGAGTGGCTGGCGGATTCCAACTTTTGGTTAGCAGGGGGGATCTTAACCACTCTGCCACCAGGGCTCCCCGTGATAAGATCATATACTAATAAATACACTTCAATCTTGTCAGATCCACTTAATTAACATTTTACAGTTTATTTACACAGCAAACATGTACTGTGAGCCAACTATTTGTAAGATACTATTTTGGGCACTAGGGTCTCAAAGATAAAAACGACACTATTCCTGCCCTGAAGGAACTTTTGCATCCTCATGTTAATAGCATCAATGAGCGCCTATAGTGCACTATCAGGCCGCCCTAGAGGACCAGCATCCAGACAGGAACTGGACTAACATTACTATGAGGTGGGAAATGTATAAGGGAATTAGCTTTGGAGAACCTTAGAGAATTCAGCTATTTTCTCATTTGAAATGCTTTTGTTTTGTATCAGGTGAGACAGAATTTTGCTGTTTAGGAGGAAGGACGAAGAACGAAAGTACTAGTAATTGGTTACTTGACAACCCCTGGGTTTTTCAGGGAGGCAGAAAGAGGGACTGCTTAAATCAATTTTCACACATTTAATCTGGTTAACATGTAAAACATGTTGCCTTTTATTTATAAGAAATGCTTTTCCCCCTATTTTAGCATGTGACCTTTAAAAGAATGCCGTGTTACTACTATCATTATACAGGTAGTCCCTGGCTCACGATGGGGTTCCATTCTGAAGACTCCTTCATAAATCAGTTGACGTAAGTTGAATACCTCTTTTTTTTGTTTTAAATGCTATTGCCTTTTATTATCAGTATCTTTATGAATCTAATCTTTGAATATCTGTAAGTGAACATCTGAGAATGACAATATCAGCAAATTACATGCTGCAACACTGCATGTAGTACATATTACTAATGATAAAACGTACCAAAATTAAAAAAGCAGACAGTCCTAAGCGTGGTTCGTCATAACCCAAATACGTTGTAAGTAGGAGACTACCTGGATACGTGCCGAGGCCACAGAAATGAAAAGAGGCTATTCAAAGTTTTGCAACCATACAGTGGTGGTGAGATCCAGACTAATAAAAAGATCTTTATGGAGGACTACGGATCTGAGAGAATTCTAATGAAAGAAGGCTCTTCTCTGCCTCACTCAAAAATATACAGATTTTTTTGGAATTTAAATAAGTTTTTCCTCTTGAAATTGAGTCCATTCATATTTTCAAAATTGATTTAATCATTTTAACGAGTATGACTGATGGATTGACAGAACAATTACATCAGATGTCTTTCTTCAGTGGAGAAATGCATCATCTACAAATTAATTCAGTTTGTTTCCCACCACCTCTCCCCAAACACACTGCTATCATTTAAAAATAAAAACAAAAAACCCTTGCCATCACTTTGATTCCGACTCAGCAACCCCACGTGTTACAGAGCAGAACTGCTCCATAGGGTTTTCTTGGCTGTATCTTTATAAAAGCAGTTCTCCAGGCCTTTCTTCCACAGGGTTGCTGAGAGGGTTTAAACCAGCAACCTTTAAGGTTAGCAGCCGACTGTAAATTGCCTGTGCCACCCAGGCTCCTATTGATTGATACCAAAATACCTTAAAATAAAACTAACTTAGACAATCTGGGAAGACAGCTAAGCAGAATTTGTAAAATTATTTTAAGAAAAATATCTTTAGTAATTATAAAAAGTAGGTATTAGTTATATCAGTATCTCCCAAAAGGTTTTCCATAGAACAATAATACAAGGGGGAAAAAAGTAGGTTGTAGTCAAATAAATTTGGGAAATAGGGCCTTTTAACATGCCAGTGCCTTATTAACCTCCAAGCAGGGGCTACACAATACTTAGTAAACATATTACACCACAAAGTCTTTTTCCTCACAAAACATCTATTAACATTTTAGAGGACAGAGAACAATTTGGGAAATGTAGACTTAGAACATCTTAAAATTTGAAAGAACAAATGTTTCTATTTACAGACTACTCCCCTTGTGAGGTTCTGCAAGCAGTTAACCTTAGTTATAACAAATATCCAAAAAGTATTTTAAAAAGAAAATAAACGGGGGAGTATGAATTAATGTGCTTTCATTTAATTCTGCATATAATAATGGAAAGTAGACTCTATGGAAGTCTCACTATTGTCTGTTGCAGTAAAGAAAAATGAGAGAATGAGCAAGAGGAACACTGAGGGAAGGAAGGAAGGGAGGAGGAAAGGAGGAAGTGAGGCAGAGAAAGAGAGATGAATACTTCCAAGAGGGAAGTGGCTAGGACAAACACAGACACAATTCTAAAATAAGGCACAATTTGAGATGTGACTTAAGTGTGTTATATATCCACATTACATATATAGAATGCTTTGTACTTTTCACATATTATCGTAACAAACACTTTGTGACGTAGATACAGTACTATTACCCCCATTTAACAAATGAGAAACTCGAGACTACAAGACATACCATGACTAGTTTGAAGTTCCACACCTCCTAAGTGGACTATTGGGGTGGGTTGGAGGAGAGAGTACCAGGAAGGGCAAAACATGAGAAGTAGATAGGGTTCAGTCCTGAAAGAGACCTGTTAGGTTATACATCTCAGTCACAGGTCTAAACATATCTTTTTGCACAAGAAAGAAATGAGTGTGAAACATGCTATCACATATATGGGGTCCTTTTCAAAAACTGTTTCCTCTGCCTGCCTGTAAGACCCAACCCAATTCCTCAGTCTCTTTGCCACCCTAATCCCACCCTTCTCCTCACCCCTCCTCCACATATCTACCTTG